AGCCTCCCGCCTGGGACGTGACCCGTCGGGCCTATTAAACACGTGAAATTGCACGTACTTATAGACTTCCGCTCCGTACATCGTACGTCATGCTATTCGTGCATTTCCATGAAAATTGAGTTTCATTCAAAAATAACCTTTAAAATGGAATAAAAAATAATTTTCTGTAAGTTTAAAGTCGTATTCACTCTGAAACGCACAGAAATAGAAAAAAGGGAGACAGACAGTATGAGAGATTCAAGAATAAAAAACAAGTCGTGATTTGTTCGAAATTTACCGAGTGAAGTTTTTTTTAGGTTTGTTTCTCTCGAGAAACAAACCTAAAAAGGGTTCCGTTTTTCTATGAACTTTACATCTGTATATACTTGAAACTTTGTTCTATTTCTGTTTTTTTTTTTTTAAATCTGAGCAAACGAGAAACAATTACTTGCGAAAATCATCTCTCGATGACAAACTTTTGGTTGAACTAGTTACATTCTTGTCTTACGATATACCAGTCGAGGTTTGAATTTACATAATGGAGCCGCTGAATGCAGAGAAATGGAAACAAAAGTAATACAATCGAACAAAAATACTTCCAAAAAAACAAGAACAACTCTATTTCGTTCTACCTCCGGATAAAACAGTTGATCTGTGGGCGAGACTACCATACCTATATACCAGCAAGATCTGAGTAACTGATAGGAAGAAACAGTCACAGAATTTTGAGAAAAATCAGGAAAAATAAAACAGAAATAGAACAAAGTTTCAAGTATATACAGATGTAAAGTTCATAGAAAAAACGGAAATAGAGATGAACTATAGCAGAACAAGGAGCTCTCAAGAGTATTGTACAATGCGATGAGCGCTACAGTATAAAACCTCGAACTGAACTTCAATGACTATCAAATTCAATTAGAAGGTTAGTTCAATCGCGATTATTTCAAAAATTCATCATGACTGAGATGGCACATAGAATTAAAATATGTTGTGAAAAAGATATAGGCGTTTACAAGTCCACTCGTTATGTAGATTCAAGAAAAAAACAAAGAAAAACAATATACCAAGATAAAGATAAATATTTACAATTACGATTGAGTAACATAATAACAATAATAATAAAAAGGAAAAATTGTGCAACTAACCAAAACGTGGAACGTATCCCATTTGCTTGGAATTAAAGTACAGCTGGGCGATAAATATTTTGTAACAATACTCTTACCAGATAGGTTCGAATCTATAATACGTGTATATGGTTCACATAACTATGCAGAGACGTTAATCTACAAGAGAGTCAACTATCCTAACATCTTCTTTCTCTGTACATCGGCTTCTCTTTTCTATTCTTAATGATATATTGAATTGCTGAAAGTTCTTCGAATGTTCAAAACTCACAACGTAGAAGTTGACCCGTGTCAATAAATTTGAATAAAAATTTAGGAACAGTGTTGAAACTGTTAAACTGAAACAGCGTTATGATTGGTCTCGACGCGATTTGCATGAAAGCTTCCACAAATCTCGGAGAAAATCTCAGCATAAACTGTTTGAATAATGATTCTCGACTATCATCTGCAAATTAATATATATGGTCAATCTCTTGTTAAAATTGTTGAGAATAATATATCGTTAGAGTATATATTGGTTTGTTCCCTGGGGAAGAACACTATACATCTTCTTGTTTAGAAGGCAGCAGGAATATATGAGTTTCTAATCATCGAAGTCCCACAACAAACGATTAGCTCTCACCAATACCAATCAGTAAACCCGAACAGATTATATCAGCCTCAATATTATGGAAGAAAAAAAGAAATCTCATTTTTCAAAAACTCTGTAGATAATCTACAATCTGCCAATGAAAATCACCTATATGATGATGCGTATGATGCGCCTAACTGGCTCTGTTCAACACCGGTGAATTTACCGGATTTTGGTATTGACCTTCCTGTTATTGAAAACGGTAAGTTTCTTATGTTTTATTACTTTCATACCCACAAAAGGCCTAGGTTCTGGGTTATCTCCAACTTTGCCCTCCGTTCATGAGAATAACTCCAAATTAGCTGAAAACAAAGCAGTTTGTGGAACTGTTGATGACATTATTAACACTGTTGAAGACAATGAAATGCCGGACGTATCCATATTTGCTAACTGCAGTCTTTTCAATGAAAGTGATACCTCTAATAGAAACAAACTATCAAGTCATGAGCAAGTCTCCAAATGCGAGCAAAATGACGAGTGGGCTGAAAAAAGTGCTGGTGGAACCTCGCTGGAAACGATAGAAGAACGAAACTCAACTTTGCATTATTCGGCCGACTCTGAGAGTGAAATGATAGCCTTGAACAATTTATCTTCGCTAGCCGTGAAACCTGCTGAAAGAGAAATGCAGGGAGAAAAAGTAGTATCAACGAACGGCATGGAGCAGAAACCGTGAGTTGGTCATCTTCATCTGCTATTAATTTCGAATTACTTGAGGTCGGACGCTGTTAACTTGTCTCCAAACCATTGTGAAAGTTTAGAAGAAGAGGGAACCGACTTGAATGTCTCCTTTCAGTCATGTTTATCTTTTGAAGGTATTCTGTTCGACATCCGTTCTTTAATTCATGATAATTGGTAGCTCCTTCTGCGAGAGATAACGAAAGTTCCGAGTTGTTTGGAGAAGAATTCCCTTCGAACGCCAAAAAAGACACTTTGACGTAAGTCATATCATTCCTATTGAGTGTTTATTACATGTACTTAGAGTTAACACTCCGAAGAAGTTTCTAGTTCACTGTAAATTTCCGGTTAGCTATCAAGTTTGATTGATCAGTAATTGCTATTTATAGGATTGCAACGTTAAGTTATGGTATGTATCTAAAAGAGGAACATATAACTTGTCGGAGCATGTGCGCTTACATTGTAATAAACTTACTCGAGTGTGTACCGTATGCGGAGTTAGCAAACGAACTATTTACGCGGTTTGTGAATGACAGGCAGACTGAAACACTTATTTTATTTAGCTACGAGTTCATCATAATCAAAAGCATCCGGAACTGAAGTTTGTCCGTGGACAGGAACAGCCTGAGCATCAACGGGAACTTATTGAAATAGCGAAAATTTGTTATCCAACCCGTGGATTTAGAATGTGAGCTAATCCTCTCTTCATGTTTTTCTAATACTTTTACAGAATGAATTTTCAATAGATAGCATCGAAATAAACAGCAAGTTCGGGCTTTTCCTACTTCTTACACCTCCTGCTTAATCAAAAGTTTATGAATTGAAAATTGGATCAAAAGTGTATCAGGCCATATACGCCTATTATTACCTGTCTTCGCTATCCTCAATCCTCTGTGAGTCCAGTGAAACTGGGTTAATTCCGAACGATTACTGTAAGCCCTTCCCTTTCGTCTTGACCTGTCTTGATTCTTTTGAGTGAGAGGGAATTTGCGGCTCATGCGCTTTCCCTCAAAACTTTTACTTCAATTCATAGTTCAGAAACTTTCAAACTTTTGTATTATCGAAGCAAACTCTAAAGATGATGCGCGTTTTTGTAGTTCTCTCTAATTGTTCATATTAATACTTTTTTTTTCTAAGCGTATCCATCTGTCACCTTTGCATATGTGAACTATTCTATATCCTTCTTCTTGTATATCGAGTTTTCTTTCAGATATATTCATGTTATACAATGGTGTGTGTGATCATAGAATCATGTTCGTTTTTTCCTTTAATATGAATACAAACACTTTTCTACATTATCCTCCATCTCCGACTGTTCATTTGGTTCTTTAATATTTTTCTTGAATAAATACTAAATTAACTCTTGAACTGTTCAGAATGATGTTTTTCATCATTACTATTCTACCTGCTACCTTACATGCGGCTATGGTTCATCAAAGCCGTAACGGAGGAGATTCTCAAGGTTTCTTTTTCAAGTGAATTTGGGTTGCAATATTTTCAAAAAATGACCATAATGGGATAATGTGTGTTGAGATGTTTCAATATTCTTTCAGATTTTTACGAACAAGTAGAAAAAAGAGTCAGTTTTCATGACAATAATGGTTCTCCCGATGTTTTTTTTTTCAATTTCTAATTGAAAGGTGTTGTTTCAGAGTCGGTGGAAGACTTTATACACGAGAATCCACTTCTGAGTCAATTACCGATGTTTTCGAAACGTCAACCGGAAGAGTAAGTTCCAAGGTCTAAGAGTCGATATTTCATTGTATGAACTTGTAGAGATCGATACTCTAGGAATTCCCCAATAAAAGTACGAGAGGAGCTATTATTCTGTATAATTCTCTTTAGGTTTTTGACAAAGACAGAAAGTCTCATGCTCAGTATGCTGAAAACAACTTCAGCAATGAATATGAGGTTTTGAATAGAACCCTGTTCGATTTAGCTGATGATAAAAATGTTTCTGAAATACTTGTGCTGGTTTGTTTTTGATAAAGCAGTATCATTTATTCATCTATTCCTTCAGCCCAAGATGTTCTTTGACGAAAGTATTTCGAACGAAGAGGTCGGAACATGAATAGAACGAGAAAAAAAGTAAAAGGCAATTATGTTTCAGGCTACCACGGAAGAACCTTTCGCTGTCACGGGCAGTTTGCTTGACGCTTTAGGTTCCGCAGCTCTAACGCAGGATCAGATAGCTCCCTCTCGAGCATCAAGGAGACCTTCAACTTTTCTCGAGAGTCCCTATTATGGAGTAACAACAACTGAACACTCAGTGTATTTTACAAAAATAATATATTCCTCTATGTTATTCACTTAGAAAACCAACTTCAGCTGAAAAATTGATATCAAGCTCCCAACAGGAAATACAAACAAAGCGATCCCAGAAAATGGGGTTCGACAGTTCAGACAGTTACTAAAACTTATTGAACTTCTTCAGATTAGCACAATCGCAGTTTTTGGGTCACAAGTTCATGCAACTTTATCCTTCAAATATGAACAGGCCGTCTCATATATCTGAGCGACAAGACAAAAACGAAGTCAAACACTCTCAAACAAAAGGTTTAGTTTTTGGAGAAAGTTTTTGATAATTTATTTATGTCATAGGTTACTTGGAAGTTTGGGGGACAAAATATTATGAGGACAATAGAATTGATGGTGACATTCAACTACAGAGCGATACAGTTGGTGATGTGCCTGAAGTATGTGATCCAACATTGTAGGAATGCTTGAGTTATTCCTTTCAGAAAAATCCCTTTGCGATAGAAACAGAGATGTTACAAGTCAAAAACGACTTCGAACGTTCAAATCTTCCAAGTATAGCCTCCGGTGTGAAGGTTTGTATAAATTAGCATAAACTCTATGCACGTGTGAACTTTCCTTTAACCATCTGCTCTCCTGTTTGAATTGAGGACGGTTGTTAGCCTTTTGCACAGAATCATATAACGAAAAGTTAGATGTTCTTACTTTTTCAGACTTTCACTGATGTTAAAAGAGATTCTTATGGAGAATCTGTCAAGCACTATCCGGAATACTTGAATATGAAATCCGAGAGCAAAATATTAGAGAATGATGGGAAACAAGTTGAAGAAAGAGTATCACAAATTGAGGATCAGAAGGTTGCTCCACGTTTGAATTACTAAATTACAACAGACATGCAGGTTACGGTGACATTGTCTAACCCACTGCTGTTCGGTCATGACTATTTGATGTACCCTGGTGCTATTATCCAACCTGAGATGGTTACGTATAAGGACACGCTGAAAGGCTTGAAACAACGGAAAAACAATAAAGGTGTGGTTATTTTTCAACAGTTTTCCAAACTCTTTTCATTCAGCTAGAGCCTATGGATCGCCTGTAGCAAATCCTTACGACTTTATCGACCACTCGTAAGTTCCACAAGAATTTTCTCCAACAGTACTGTTTTCAGAATTGCCAAGAATAAAGAACTACAGCCATTCACTACGACCGTCTCCAGTGTTCCTCATCTTAAAGGTAGTCTTTGTTATTCGTTACACAGCTGTAAAGCGTAATCCAGGAGTATGCGGCCTCGGAACGGCTCCTCTTTTTGTTAGATCTTCAGATGTTGAAGAGACTGTGGGCTCTGGGAGAACTGTTGTAATTCAATCAAACGAAGACGACTGTGTGTCAGCATGTCTCACAAATAAGGTTATTTTTTTTTTACAGAACGTTTATTTTTTAGCTATGGCAAGTGTTTCATGGCTTCGCCTCCATTTTTTTCTTTCTATTCCAAATTGACTGACCCATCGTTTAACTATATTTCAAGGTGGATGATAGGCTTCCCTTTGATTGTGTTTCTGCTAGCTATCGAAAAGATACTCGCGACTGTCAGCTGACATCAGGAATTAGCCGGCATCTGCTGCGTCCTCATACTGGATCTATTTATTATGAGAAGACGTGTGTAGACGGTAAGCAGATGTATCATACATCATAATTTCAACAATTTCAGCCACGGTAGCAGAAGTCTGCTCTGGGGCAACAGTGATCAGGAAAGAACAAACAGTTTTAGTTGGTTTTATCCGTGAAACGTTTGCAACGGAATCTATCGAAGAATGCATTGCTCTTTGTATTACTTCCAAAATATCTGCAGGGTATCGATGTCTATCATTTGTATATTATTACGAAGTGAGCGCAACACTTTTATCTAGTTCTCAGCGTTCATATTTCATAGGAGAATCTCAATTGCATTTTGAGTGAAGCATCCGAAGTTACAGCACCCCGAGCAATGGTCAAGGAATCTATGACAGATGTTGATTACTTCGGAGTTGACCACTGTTACGGAATAGCATACGCAACCGATGACAAGACTGTGGCGTCAACGGTAAGTGAGCTGAGACATTTTATCTGAATCTTTGTTCAGAAAATCCAGAACGCTCATTACGTAGAAGATGATATACGTGTAGGAGAAATCACAGCAGGGTATTCGATGTAATAGGGTGTAAATTATCAAATCGTTTCAGATCGTTGGTTCGTCCATTACGAAAAATGCGAAGTCATTAAATTATTTGTTGAAAATCATCTCAAAAAGAGACTGTCCGGTGCCAGAATTTAATAATCATAATAAGAAGATATATTTATGTATTTATTTCTCAACCTAACTATATGAACTATAACAATATATTTTATATATGTAAAACACAAGGCAAAGTTCAGGAGTTTATTTATATAGCGCAAGAGATCGATGGACTTTTAAAATGGTCCGTGTAAGGCAATGCCAATGGTCGCCCATATAAACAAGTGAAGAGAAAGGCATTGGAAGTTTGCTTGTATGAAGCTTGAACATATTTGGTTAATAAAACATTTAGAAGGAAACGAAGATTTTGACACAAGAAATTCGTGGTTCCAGGTGAGCAATGCAGATTCTCAAGATAGATAAGGGATTGTAAAACAAGTATGAAAAGAGTTACGAAGAATAACAAATAAGAAAGGAGATACTTTGAATTATTAGAAATATAAAAATTTAGAGCTCGAATACAAAATTCGTTGTAAGCTCATCTGATGACTTTGAAGATAAAGTCCCCTGATAAGGAAGGATCTTAGATCCGCAAAGCTACAAGAAGAACTGTTTGGTCTATATATAACTTCTCACCTATTGACTAGTTTTATCTTAGTTACTTCAATATCACATTGCTTTCTTAATTGAATGAGCAAAAGCTTTCAAAAGCAGGGAAAATGTTGAAAAAAAAGAAGGCAATGAGCGGATCGTCTTAGAACCAATAAGGAGCTAAAATAACAAACTATGAGAAGGAGGCAATAGAAGCATACAAATTTACATAATTTTTAACCAAGAACAATGAACTCGATCTTTTCCCACAGTCCGCTGTGGGTACGATGTAAAATAAATTAAGGAGGCAGAAATGAGAAAGACCGGGAAATTTAAAACAGATTATTGGGTATCATAGAGAGGATCAGTGGTTTACGAGAACATTGGATATATTTTAAACAATATAAGCAGCATAACTGTGACTAGAAACCCTTATACAGAGAGAGAGAGAGAGAGATAGAGAGAGAGAGAGGAGAGAGAGAGAGAAAGAGAGAGCGCGAGGAAGAGAGAGAGAGAGAAACGAAGAGAGAGCGAGAGGAGAGAGCAAGAGAAAAGGAGGAAAAGATGGAGAGCGTAGAAATAGCACCTTTTACAGACATCAAATGTTGATAGAGAAGACAAGAAAAGAATTGAGCAAGCGGACCTGCCGCTAAAAGTAAGATAGACACGCCTTATTGCTTTGGCTAAAATAAGAAAATAAATTACAAAAACTACCATTTACTTACCTGAACATTCTGCTCGACTAGATGTTGGCGTCCAGCAAACTTTTCGTGAAAATTTGCCCCCGTATTATATATGGAACAGTCCATAGCGTAGTTAGCTAAATTCTAGCCAGTAGGACACGAATACTGACGTTGATACAAAGATGAAAGCTAAGACGTACGATCGTAGAAATCATTTTCAGGTGGGCTATCTTTAGGCACAACTTCTACTTTCCTACGTCCTTTTCTTTGTTGCTTTGCCTTCAAAAAAAATCAGAAGTAACATACAACATACTAAATATTACTTTGCTCTCTGCATCCCTCTTCTTAGCCTCGTCAGCTAGTAAAGATCGTACAAGTTGCCCTATACGTTCGTCAGATCCGTCTTCAGAATTAGAAGAGGCACGTCTAATACCATTCTAATGTAACAGCTTATTAAGCTTTTTCATGCATACCCTAACCTGCTCATGGCTATTTCCAGACCTATTTCCACCGTTTTCTTGAGCTCGAGATCTAGCGGGTTGACTGCGATTTTGTTGTTCATTTGGATGATGTTGAGGATATCCAGGTGGAGCTCCACTCACTGAACATAATATTGAAAAATATACGAAGGATATAACCAACCAGTTTGAAAAGTATGGTCAGGAGCATTTACTGGAGTTCCACTGACCCGCCGCTTTATTCCATGTGGTTGAGAGCCCGGTGGGGCTTGTGAAACCACAGGGTTCGGCGAAGGAGGAGGCGCAGCACTATTACGAGACACCATTTCCACTACAGAAGCAATAGAAGAATCTGTTTAATCAGAAAACTGTAAGAAGAATCCAACAAGAAAAATACCTATTCTATCTGCATTCGGGGTATTAGATTGCTGTGATTTAGAATTCTCGTTTGGAACTCCAGATCTACCATCCAGAAGTTGGGATTCCGATAACAAACTATTGCTCCCGCTCAACTCATTCATAGGTTCAATATCATCGAGGTCACCTAGCATAATAATAATAAAACTACCAAGGCTCGAGAAAAATTACCTAAATGCTCGTCTTGAGAATGCCACAGTTTGTCAACAGCAGCTTCACTGCCGGGATAGTTATACATGGTACCCTCATTTCTCATATAGCTACCAGGCTGGAGAAGAAGCACACTATTAATAATAAAATTCTTCAAGACATACATTCATTGCAGGCACTTGCTGAAACTGTTGCGATGGAGAAGTCCCATCTTGGGAAAAATCGCTAGAAGTTCTTTGTGACGCATTCGGATGAACAGAACCAGGACCTTAACACAAGCATTAGAAAAATTATGATAGTTCTAAAAACCTGTCGGAGGGTATGGAACATGAGGCCTTTGCTGCCATGGCTGATTCACTTGTTGCTGATACAACATCCGTTGTTGCATCTTAAAATTGAGAATAAATGTGGAAATTAGAAAACTTCATACAGAATGTTGCCACATTTGCTGTTGATGTGGGTTCCCCGTATAGTTCGGGGGATACTGCGGATGACCCGGAGGAACAGGTTGACCTGGCACCATGGGATAATTGGGTTGTGGATAACCGCCTGGCATCATGGGCGCTCCCTGAGAAAATGTTTTAAAACAATATAGAGAGTTAACAAATACCGGTGGCATGTGCTGAGGGTGCATCATTCTGTCTTGCATGAACTGTGATTGTTGCTGTGTTTGTTGTTGCTGCTGTTGTTGTTGCTGTTGTTGTTGCTGTTGTTGCTGCTGCTGCTGCTGCTGTTGTTGCTGCTGTTGTTGTTGTTGTTGTTGTTGTTGCTGAGCTAACTCAGCTTCCTTTTGCTGCTTCTTTGTAGGTTTCCTCTTTTTCTTAGGAGGTTGCTGAGGTTCCTGAACAAATGGTGAAACTAAGCGATAAAATTATTTTAAAAAAACCTCAGGCATAGGGACAAATGGAGGAGGACCCGGTTGTTGCATCGGTGGTTGATTTATAGCAGGAGCCTGTTGGTTGGGAGGACATCCATAAGGTACCTGTCCAGGAGCACCCTGAGGATAGTTTGGTGGAGCACCCAACCGTTGATGTGGAGGATATATATGCTGGCCGTGTGGGGGAAAATTCTAAACATAAAAATTTCTTCTCAAACATTGAAAAATTCCTAACCATTGGAACTGGTCCAGGTGGGCCTTGTCTGGGACCGGCGGCGCTCATATTGGGAGGAGCAGCTCCAGGGAAATATTGACTATTTGAAGAAGGTGGCTGATTTGGAGTTGCAGAGTTTGGTGTAGGAGGAGTTGGGTGACTAGATCCTGGAGCTTGATTTTGAGAATGAGCTCGCTGAGCTTGCATATGTTCCATCGCTTGCTGTTGTTGCATGAGCAAACGTTGACGATCCATCTGAAAATAGGGCTTTGTAGTTTTTAATTCCATACACGCTTACATGTTGCTGTTGCTGTTGCATAGCAATTTGCTGAGGATCCATTGATGGCGGGGGACCGCTGTGGTTGGGTGGAAGGGACTGGTTTGGATGATTGGGATATGGGTATGGGGAAAATGGCCTCTGTTGCATGTTTTGATTAAGAGGACCTTGAGCATTTTGTGGAGGAACGGTGGGATGGCCATGTGGAGGGGTGGGGTGTGGTTGGGGTTGTTGCGGGCCACCTGGCCCAGCTTGATGGTTTGGTCCAGGTACAGAAGCCTGTGGAGCTTGCTGACTTGGAGTAGGAACACTCTGGCTTGGAGCAGTGACTTGAGCTTGTGAGCTCGCAACCGACTGTTGCTGGAGCTGTTGAGGCTGGGGAGGTTGAGCAACTTGAGGTTGGGGAGGTTGAGACACTTGCGATAGAGGTGGTTGTTGCTGTTGTTGTTGTTGATTACTAAAAAGATCTTTAGAAAAAATTATATATAGATATATTACCTCAGCAAATTGATTAGAAGAGGACTATTGTTGTTCACAGGCGCTCTGGGTTGTTGGGGATGAAGGACCTGCACTGGTTCGGGTGGAACTACTTGGGTGACAAGTCCAACATGGTGAGGATGAATAATTCTAGGTTCACTAAAGATATTTTATAAGCATCACACGGATCATATCCTACATTTTTTCAATCGGAGTTTCTACCCGTCGCTGAATTTCTTCAACCTTAGGTGGTAGTGAACTGATTAATGGTACATCAATAACCGAAATGGGTTCCTCATTGTGGAGTTGAACAGAAGACAGACCTTAAAAACACAACTTAGCTATAATCAAAAATAAAATCAGACGTACCTAATTTACGGAGAGTATGTGGAAGATAACAAGCTATTCGCTTCAAGCGCAAGGCTTGTCTAGCGTTAGCTCGAAACGTGAACTTATGCCTCGGAGAAGGCGCCACGGTGGATGATGTCATGTCATCTGTCCCGTCTTCTTTCCTTACGGTGTTCTCAAAAAGTTTCTCACTCTCTCTCGATTGACTTCTTTCCGGTGATATGCTTTTCGTGGGATCACCGGTGTGATCTGTAGAAGGTTCCGATTGACTGGCAGTGAGGGGTAGACTAGATTCCAAAGAGTCTTCTAGCTCTTTTTCAAAACTTTGTCTTGGTTTCGAACTACGCTCAGAAGGTGGAGGACTAGAGACCGTTTGGCTATCACTTAGCGGAGAATCTTCTCGGGTTGGCGCCTTATCTTCACTAGTTGAAGGTTCACTCGTACTTGAAGACGGTTTCGACACTGAATCCAAAGATTCCTCCTTCACTTCACTGTCGCTTAGTCTCGTAGCCGCAGTTTGAATACAGTTTCGATCTGAAAAATGCAGATAGGAAAAAGCGTTAAAACATGGTATTACTTTCACTGATTTTGGTCGATATCGCATCAGCAACATTCGATGAGATGGTTTTAATAGGAGATATATTTGCTGAACTTGGGGGTTCCGTTTTAACAGTTACGGAGGGGGGTCTCGCTGAAGTCTGGACCCAAGCTGCTGAGGGGTCTATGGAAGACGTTCCCAGCATCAACGAACATCCAGTGTCCGCTTAGTGCTACCTTAAGCGTAAAGGATCTACAAATTATTAAATTTAAAAAATCGTAAAATTCAAATTTTTAATTTCAGAAACAAGAAAAAGAAACGGAAGATAGCAACATTTGTAAATACAAATTTGACGAAAATGGTTGAAGTAACACGTTTTATATTATGATATTCTGCTAACAAATTTCTTAATAAGAAAGAAACCACCTTCCAAATTTTCAAAACTCAACCATGGGCGCGTCTGGCGTTACTCAATAAAGAACGGTACCAACGAAAAAAAATCAAAATCGATAGAAGAATATTATTAACATTTATACTATATGAGAAGATTATGGATGAAGCTAGTCAACGGTTAATTAAGCATATGATAATTTTATAAAAACACCAATTAAAAGAAGCAAAATAAACTCTTCGGAAACCTGGAACCGCCCGCGTCGTCTCACTACACGCTACGCGTGGCTCGCGCGAAGCGGTCGCGATTGATCCCTTGAACTCGTGATACCTACCGTAACAATTAAGTTACCTGGTTTTTCTTTAGCTTAAGCATAAGATAATTTCTCGTAGAGAAGTATGAAAACTGAAACAGATTTTGTTGATTTCCAAATTTTTTTCGAAATCATGAGATTTAATCACTATCAATCTCGGAAAGAACTAATACTCACTCTGCCCCCAAACAGAAAAAAATTTTCAACTCAAATCTAAGAGATTCAACAGTTAGGTAACCGTCTCCTTTCTTAATCAAGATAAAGCCGAAAGTTATTTGCTACTTCTCTTACCATTAAGCTATTCATGGCTTTTCTAAAGGGTCCTACACCGAATCCCCTGTGCATCGTTCTGTAAACTGAACAGGTCGTAGTTGGATAATCGCACTCCTAAAATATTTTCTGTGTAAAGAACATATTTTTACAATTTTCTTTTTTGAAATTGGGTCTTTATAAGTGTTTCATAGTTAATAATGAGGTAGAAAATATTTGTAATGTGTTGGATGTTTTTTTGTATTTTTTACATGTTTTTATTTTGTTAAATATTTTAATGGACCCTATTAGACATTAAATTTTTATTATAGTTATGAAGTACTTGGGAGCTTACTTGTTGGCTAACCTTGGAGGTAATGCTTCTCCATCTTCTCAAGATATTTTGAAGATCCTTGGTAAGTGATATAATATGTTTCAAAATTTATTGTAATTGTACAGAAGCCGGAGGTGTTGATTGCGATATGAAAAACGCTGACACCGTTGTCGCAGCTCTTAACGGAAAGACTGTCTCTGAAGTTATTGCTGAGGGAAAGAAGAAGTTGGCTTCAGTTCCATCTGGTGGAGCTCCAGCTGCTGCTCCAAGCGGAGCTGCTGCTGCCCCAGCTGCTAAGGGTAAACAAAAGTGTTTAATGAAAATTTGTAATTAAATCAATTATAGCTGCTGAGAAGAAGGAAGAGGCTAAGGAGGAATCTGACGATGACATGGGATTCGGTCTCTTCGACTAAGTTTCGTTATTGTTGTTATTCTTTTATCGATTGCGATAAAGAAATGATGCTACTCACTTGTTCTACTTTGTTTTACCTTATTAATTCGTATCACTACACAGCATATTTATTGGGAATATTTCTTGATGATCACTGAATTCTAGAGAATGAAACTTCGTCAGGCGGCCAAATGGATCCTGTCTAACACTATTGTCTCTGATTCTAGTCTCACCCCATCTATTAAACTTCGTTTGATTACTGAACAAACTCCCCTGTGGATGAGTACTCCTGATTTATGTCCTTTACCAGATCCATATTGGGCATTCTATTGGCCGGGGGGTCAGGGGGTGACCAAATACATCTTAGAGAACCCCAATGAATTTCAAAATGAAACTATATTCGATTTTGGTGCAGGCTGTGGCTCGATCAGTATAGCTGGTTGCCTTGTCGGCTGTAAATCAGTTATTGCCAACGATATTGATCCCAGTAAGGAGATATGGATTTCTTAGAATGCTTAAATGAGTTGGCAGATGCTCTGATTGCAACGAAACTGAACTTCAAGCTCAATGGAATTTCGGATGAGAAAGTGAAATATTCCTCTACGGATTTTTTGAATCCTTCTAACCATAGTGAACTTCTGGAAATGGTCAAGGTTTTATGAGATATATTGAATCCAATTTGTTCCATCGTTGTGTAGGGAAGATGCCATGTCATTCTGGGTGATATGTTCTATGACTCGGAATTCACTGCCATGATTTTCGAATGGCTCCGCAGGTTGTTATCGATGAGATCTCATTCAACGCGTTCTTCAGATTGAAGGAAAACAGGGACGTCAGAATTCTTGTCGGAGATCCTGACAGACATCCGCTAACTGATCCAAAGTACTTGGAACGGTACGACCATAGTCAAGTTTAAAAATTCTTGTTTTGCAGATACCCTTCTTTCACGAAGACAACCCTCGCTCAATATCCTCTCCCGGCCTATGTGATAAAAGAACATTACGGATTTAATATTGCAAATATTTATGAATTTCGTTTATAAAAGATGTCAGTATTCATTTCAACAATATACATTCACAATGAGATTTTGAAAATTTACAAGAAATTTCAACTACCCGATAAAAATGTTTTAGGAATGGTAGTTCGAAAAATAAAACAAAATATACCGTATACTTTTTAGTATAACCTGTTAGCTAATGAAAGTATTGATTTACCGGTTCTAAAATGAAAGAAACAGTTTGAGTTAGTCCACAATCTATGAAATTGGCTCATTTCGACACCGTGGCCTCAAGGGAGCCGATCTATGGCTTAATAACCGGCATTTCTCTCCTTCAACTCGTTTTTTCTGTTGAGCACGCTGTTCCCTAATCTCAATCTAAATTGATTATATCATGAGCTATACTATACAAATCGAACTCACGAAGGTTTGTTCACCCGTCACGTCGTAATAATGTGTTTGGATGTTATGCCATTCTTCAGAACGAATGTCTTCTCTTACTGGTAAAGGATCTCCAGCAACTCTACGTTTTTCACAGAAACGCACACATGGCTCGATCCAGTCGACAACATGCAGCAAACCCTCATACGTGAATCCTATAGAATTTTATGAGAAAAAAAAAAGAGACATTGCTTGCCTGTCACGCTACTAACAAGATTGTGCGGCTCATAACAAGCAAAAAGAACAGCAGCCGCAACTTCTCTATAGGAAAATGTATGAACGTCAACGTCGAGACAGGCTATATCCAGCACCTACAGAAAGAAAGTATAAAGCAGAAATGATACTTTTATCAAACTTTTGACATGTGCATATATTCTTCTCTAAGATACGCGGGAACAGTGAACGGTTTTTCTGATACGTGCTTATCAGCATCACGCTCGAACTAAGATACGAGTGAACACAAATGTGAAAACTACACTTACTTGCTTATTACCCAAGAGTTGCATATAAATGTTCAACCAGTGGATTGAAGTTAAAGGCGAAAGGCTCCAATTCAGGGTGCACAGCATTAAAATTTCAGACTGTCGCACTTGTGCTTCATCACAGGCGCCAGCAGTGTATTCGACAAAGTTTTCTAGCTTAGGCGGATATATTTCCTGCATAAAAAGATAGCAAAGCATAGATTCGTAATCCCACTTCATATTTCGATGCTATGAAAATTGCTGTTGTTCCAATGCATTGCAGCTCGTTGAGACTCAGATCTGGATGAGCTGCTAAAAACCTATCGAGATAGTCTATAGAGAGATGGAAGGTTTCCCGGTGTTGTTTTTCACTCTCGCATAACTGAAACATTAGTCTGTAGCTAAGAAAAGTTCTTAACTCGAACTTCCATCATCCAATCCACTAGTACAGCTCGCATGGAAGGGGATATTTGGTTTTTTAACACAAGTTTTTCTGGTCGAACAACCACATCCTTCCTTACCAACAAATTCCATACCTTAGATTAATACATTTACACATACGAATAGCTACGTGTTCTAACCTTCTCAGGTGTACCCATTCCCCTACAAGATGTTTCAGTCAGGTGAAGAGGTGCTGGAGCATTCATTTTCTTTTCATCATTCAATGCTGTTTCTATCCTTACAAACTCTGCATTCTCGAGATAACTATTATCTTCATCTGAAAAACGACAAAGAAGAAACTCTTTTATCAAAATTAAATACTAACCGTTTTCATCGGAGAAGTCTTCAAAAAAAATTGTGTTAGATTTACAGTATTGAGCCTGAAAATGTGCTTGATGAATGAAACGAGAATCAAGAAGTTCAAACCTCAGAGTCATTTTCTTCTTCGATAGAGTCAAATCTGGGATTCATGGTGTTATTTTCACTAGTAGGCTGTCGCCTTTTTGCTTCTTGAACTTCAAGCTTGTCAGTAGAATTCTGAGGTTCAAGCAATGTGAAAGGATAAGATTTATGTGTAAACTCACAGAGCTGATAGTATATCTTCTCTTCCTCTCAGAAGAAGTTGATGGAGCTGAGAGTTCTTCTTCGTTCTCTTCAATCGGTTCTTTCTCAGTATTGGTAGCTTTCCCGTTGTCAATTGAGGTACTCCTCAAACGGTAAGCCGTCGTTATAACCGAAATATCATCGGTCTCGTTACTAAAATAAATCAATAACACAAACTACATCTCATTGACAAATGTTTGGCAAAATTTTAACACATACCCCTTATTCGATCTATTCTGTTGGTCTTCCTTCGACTTTCTAGCTTTGCGGTTAGTAGATTTCCGTTTTTTCCTACCTGCCATTCATCCAATCTGAAAACTATGTTTTGATTTTTAGGTTTTTAGAAATAGAAGTTATGAAGCTTTTAGTAATTTGAAATTTTATTTAAGCGGAGAAATTTAAAAAGTTTATCACACGGGACTGAGCACAATTATCAACAAATTCAAAGCTGCAGAAGCATTTGTTTAGCGCGCTTTCTGACCGCAAAGAATCCTACCACGAAAAACCAGCCCTTTACGTATTAGCGTCACGCCATATTTGATTCCTTCTTTCGTTTTTTTTTAATTTTTAAAACTTGAAAAGTCAATTTTTTGTTGTTCAACAAATACTCGAAAATAAGAGAAAAACAATGTTCCCTGACATAGTTGGGTTCCTAGCGTTAAAATGGGGAAACAGTCGTAAAACGTGTGATGCTTAAATTCTTCCAATATCTATTTTTTTTTCGTTTCGGTGATATTCAACTATTTCAAAAAGTTACAAATTATTATTTTCAATAACCTGGATTCAAATTTAAATGAACTGATTAATACTACGTTTGAAAATCGTTCTAAGTAACTTACAATCCTTTATGAACCCCATAAAGTGCAAAGCTAGTACTAACAGTAACGAAAAATTATCTTTCTTTAATTTTCTTCAATAATACAATTCTTTCGTTCAGTCGTTGCTTAATGAGCTTATCTAAAGTTCAGCTCCCCTTAAATCAGTCATAGTCTGGTTGGCTAACCCTTTGGACAATGTGTTTCTTCCTGTACAAAAAAAATTAACCTTGGCATCAACGTTTTACGATCGAAAATTTTGCAGGCCGCCGGCCTTCCATTTTTGAGTAAAAAGAACTTGGTATGTCGTCTGATTGCGATGACGACAGATTACTGATAGATGACCATAATGATATTTCTGTAAATGAAGGAGAAACAGGGAACAAGACAACGTCAGGTAATATTTTGATACAAAACGTTCGCTAAAACTGCTCTCAATCCAAAACATTCCATAAACTGTTGCTATAATTGCGTGAAGAATTCTTCATTTAATCCTCCCTATTTGTTGAAAGAATGCAGAGTTTTTAGAAAAAGATGCAGCTAACGAAGTTGGTGATGTTTCTCGAGAGGAAGGCGAACTTGTAGACGAAGAAATGGAACAGTCTGAAAGTGATCCGAACTCTATGAAAACAAAGTTTGTCTTAATTGAGACGAAAACCTTGAAATTTGCATCGTTTCTTTTAAGATCGGAAAATCCCAAGATTGAGAAACGTCCACCGACTCCTAAGCAGGATGGGCCAACTCAAAAAAAAATGCGTGTGGTAATTTCATATACTTTAATATGATTTGAATGTTTCTGTTCAGAAATCCACACCATCTCCTCTCCCTCCTCCTCCCATTCCTCCTATTCTAAAACATGATAAATCAACTTGTGTTCAAACTCGTGCTGTTCAAAATGAAGCAGATGATAGCCCATTCGAAATGGAACCCGGATCATCTTTTACTGTTCAAATGACTGTTGTTTGCCGTCTTGGTAATTACATATAGTTTTCATCTTTTCATCCCCATTTTTCAGAAAATGCTAACACTCTGTATGTAACAACCAAATGGAAAGATCAGGAACTATCTGGGGTTCTCACAGATGGTGTTCCACCTGGATTCCAAAACTTAATGAAGAAAAGGTTTCATTGCCATCTCTACACCTGATTTCATGCTGTTTTAGTGTTCTTAGAAGTCAGAACGGTACAAACTATTCAAACTCGGGAGAAGGTGACAAGTCCGGTAATCAATCAACTCCTTCTAAGAAACGAGTTGGTCGAAATTTTCAAAGTGATATTCGTAGAAGGTCTGCCCGACCTCAGGCAGAGAACAACAGTAAAAAATAATGTCAATTCAAAAATATTACGAGCTATTCTTCAGATAGTAATGAAGATGGTGACGAAGAGGTCGAATCGAACAACGATTCACGTCCTTCAGCTACCAATAGTTCTGTAGCCATGACTGAAATAGGAGAAAAGTAAATACTAAACTTTTTTTTCCACCAAAAACTTGCTTAATTCAGTACAAAGCTTCATGAATGTCCTTATGATGGTTGTTTTTATCGTTTCGAGAGAGGTACAGAAATGGACTATCACATCAACATTTTCCACAAAGTGAAAGCTGTGAGTTCCTATTCCATCTTCGTTGTATCTTGCATTTCTTAGGTCATGCGCGAGTCCATATGTTGTCAAACTGATATATCAGCTCTTAGAAGAGAAGATGTAGCAACCGAAACAGATCCCGTTCCTGATGAACTCACAGATTTACAAAAAGATAGTATAAAACAGTTATTTATGGTATGCTCTTCTTCCTTATTCTGAGTTTGTATTTTTTTCTCAGGCCGGAACTTCCAACACTAAGACCGAAGTGAAGGAAGAGCCCGGTAAACGAACCGGATCTCCTTTTTCTGATATTTCTGAACCAGATGAATCTATGCCCAAAATAATTACTCCGGATTCTCCGTCAAACTTAATTAAACCTGGTTTGCTTCTTACATTATATGTTTGATATGATTGACTAATTCAGAAAAGGCTGATGGCGCTCATAGTAATGGAGTTGCTACAGTCACGCCGTTGACAGGTACGAAGAGTAGCTTTTCATTTTGTCATCTTAACTGTTTCAGGAAATGCTTTACTGGAAGGACAGGTACATTCCTCTGTAAATTCTTTAATGGGAGGAGGTATGTTCTGTCCTAGTAGATTCATAAACACAGGTTTTTAGTAAATCCACTATCATCTAACGGAATTTTCTCTTCTCCTTTGTCTTCAACTAATCATTTCCAAAATTCAAGATTACCTCAACAAGAACATAAAATTCATCAATTAAAACAAGAAGGTACTGTTCGAACAAACTTTCTGTTTTCACACATTCATGTACAGATGCGAGTGGCTCGAATACTAATCTAGCCCCGAAGCCTTTATCATCCCCTGCTCAACCTAGACCCCATTTCTCATTACCTATGGCTGGGCCCCATTCTAGTAGGCTAATGTGTTGGTGAACTCTCAAAAAACTCATTTATTCCAGATCACCCGTTAATGCAACCTTCTTTTAATCCTCAAGCCGCGATGCAAATGCTTCACTTATCGATGGCACGGGGATATCCAAGTGCGACGGTAAATTTTTCAATTAGTTTTTCGAACTCAAAATATTGTTCAGATGGGCACAGCGTGTACTCCTGACCAATTAGCTCAAATTGCTGCTTTTCAAGGTAAAGTGATATTGAGAACCTTATACAATATAGTTTATTTCAGCGAATCTCCCTGGATCGTATGGAAATATATATCCAAAATGAGGATTACACACTGTTATTTCTGCCTTTCCTTAATCTTAATTACGTAGTAGAACCTAGAGAAACTGCCCTCGCATGCTTTCTAATAATAATAACAACGCATTTTTATGAGATGATAACAGAAAAATGCGTATGTTTTTAGTTTTCTTTCTATGTTTGATGTTGAAAACATTCTTGGAACCCTTTTACCCTTTTTTCAAATCCCAAACAAATACTTATCCTGCTTTATACTATGAACATATATATTTAAATATTTTGATGAAGAGGGAAGGTGTGGGCTTCTTAGAATATGTGTGAAATTCGAGTAAATTATTAGATGAAAAAACAATACGAAGTAGTTTTGCATGTCCAGAAGATATCGGTGTTGGTCCGATATCCTCTCCCTCACCAAAAAACCAAATGCTAATGTTGTTTTAACTCAGAATGAGAAAGATTCAATAAAAATTCTCCAAGAAATGTTTATCTGTTTCGATATTTCGTTATCGACTTATGTTACGACCTGGTACATACAAATCTTTCAATTATATGAACCAGGTTTAATCGAGTCTGACCGATAATCCGTAGTATTCGTTTTGCCCATAGATTCATCTGGTTCAGAAATATCAGAAAAAGGAGCTCCGGTTCGTTTACCGGGCTCTTCCTTCACTCCGATCTTAGAGTTGGAAGTTCCGCCCTCTGTGTCGATTATCTGCTAATTCGAAAGCTCATAACCGGCGGTACTAATTAAGAATGGGAGATATCATGGATTCAGAAGACGATCAAGACGATAACGACAATGATAAGAATGATAAACGAGTTGAAGAAGAGGAAATAGTATATGAGGAAGTTGAAAATGAAAATAATGTAAATGACATCGGTTAAGAGAATCACTCTAGCTGGTTCTTTTTGCGCTCCACGGCAAAAATTTTCTTTGAAAAATAGTCGAAAAATGGTCGAAATAGTCGACTACTGAAGTCGACTACTTGCGGTCTAGGTGCGGCCGGATTCAAATTTGGGCGGGAAAATGTATTTCCTAATGTCACTCTCATGATGTGAGTTAGTTGTTTCAGAGTTTTCTAATAGTTTATTACTGTTTTTCTTCAATTATTCAAATATCTTTTTACCTTTCCCAACAGAAGTTTTATTTAGGAAATTGGAAATGGACACGGAAGTTTTTGATAATGTCTGCGCCCCATCCTTTGCAGAAGGTGGACTGGGTAGTCGACTTGACGATTCCACAGATTTTTTCGGTGAGTTATCTTTGAAATTTTCCCAAGAACAGTAGTTTCAGAGAGGACCAGAGATGATAAACCAAAAAAAACTGATGAAGTTGTATCCTCAACAATTCCAGTCGACACATTTAATGTGTCCCCAAAGAAGGCACCTTTTGCCAATATTCCCATTAACTCAACTGTTATATCTGAAACTTCGAAAATTGAAGCAAGTAACACTAAACCAGAATCTACCTTCAGCATACCATCAAATACTTCAAATACCGCTGATGGATCAGAACTCGGTTGGTTAGAACTTTGTGTCATGTATCATACTATTCGTTCAGAAAACTTGGGCAGATTGGCCATGTTTGGTAATCGTCCTCAGCAGAAACGAAGATCTCAGTTAAGAAGAGAGGAGCGTTCAAAAGTCGAGTCTGAAAGAAAAGGTATTTGTTTTTCGCTTTATTCAGAAATAGATAGTTTTACAGCTCCGATTCCAAGACCTGAGCAATCATCCGTTAAGGTACCTATTCCAGCACCTATCCCACGTGATCCTTCTAATGCTCGTCAGTCATACTCCTCACGCACGCAAGCCCCAACGCGCCCAACAACATCGAGACTGTCCCATTCTTCAAATATGGCAACGTCTACTCGTCCGCCGACTACCATAAGATCAAGAACTCCAAGGTAACCTATTTCAGACTTTTTTTTAAAGTTCTCATTTTTTAGTGTTGAACCTATTCGTTCACGTAGATCTGCATTTTATGATAATAGATCTGCACCAGGCAGCTCAAGTAAAGTAATTCCTCCAGTCGCGCCCAGGTAAATTGATATAGAGATAAAAAATTTTAATCTGTTCTTCCAGGAATAATCTAGCTGGTCCAATCACGAGAAGCCGTGCTCGCTTAACGAATGAGAATGCTGATACTAAAAATGCCCCACAGGTAGTAGTTTAGCAAAAATTTTCTCAATAATTTTCTGAATTTCAGAGTCTTAGCAACCGACTCTCTCAGCTCCAAATTTCGAATCGCCCTATAGCTCCTCTCACTAGTGAGCAAGAGTTTAGAAAAGGTATCAGACAAAGACATGCTGTTGCACCTCGGCTGTCATCAACTCCAGTAGGGAAAGTTAATAGCAAGCTACAAGATGCCATCACATCAGCAGTAAGTCTTTTTTTTGGAAAAAATTTGTAAACTAGAATCTTCTTTTAAAGAACAAGAAACCTCCTTTGCCATCTGTTGCTAGACGCGAAGGCAGTGTAACTAGAGATCGTCCGTTGAGTGCTGCGAAGCAAACTCCGATCATTGTTGCTCGTTCACCTCTCCGTAGAACTCCTGTAGTTCCATCGCATCCGAGAGTTGCATTCGGGTCTGGAGTAAGACCTGTAAGAGTTTTTGTCTCACTAGTTGGTATGTAACATTTCTGTCTTCAGGCACGTTTAGCGCGCCGTTCTAACACATCTTCTCCTGGCTTGCGCAAATATCCCGTGAACGTATGTTACCACCTTTTTCCCTTTCAAAAAAATTTGCAGCCAACCACTCGTCCACTGGTTGTTACTATACCTGACACTCCATCGTTCATGCGGAGACAATCTGCGACAAAAAAAGATCACCCTTCAATTCAACATGCTGACACGCCTTCGAAGCCACAATCTATGCAACGACAGTCTTCTGCCCGGAGAAGTAGAATCGATGTAGCGCAACTTGTAGATAGATTAAGTAAGCCGAAAGTTTTAGCTAGTCCGAAACGCGTCCCCCCGGTAAAATCAAAGTAAGTCGATTTGTATGCAGCTTGTATATCAACTGTTTAAGGCTTGTTAATGGCTTAACCCATGGATTAACTTCTCAAAGAAAAGTAAGAAGTAGAAGTACTTCTATTGTTCGTCCAGGTTAGTTTTCATTATATTATACAGATGGTTTGAATAATTCTAGGATCAGCAACTAATGCCCCAGAAACTAATCAGTTTGATAACATGAAAGTTTAATCATTATATAAGAAATATTTTAAAAAATAATCATTGTTTATACAGTGAAAGATATGTTTATATGTACGAATTTGGATAAATGTATGTTTCAAAAGTGCTAAACGTTAAGATCGTTGCTTCGAATGTATTTGTAGTTTGCGCCAGCACATGTGATTGACGCTTTCGCCTTATCTAGCCTTTTTCTACTATCTTATGCGGTGTATGTATCATATGTGTGCTTCGTTTTTTTTATTTTGTAGATTCTGTAAGTAAACTTTGAATCAATCTTTTTATTGTTACAGGATGTCTGGTAATCAACTTCTGAGAGAAGTTCGGCTCTATGAAAATCATAGCGAAAGGGAACAAATGGAAAACATGGGCGAACTTTTTGCTGTTCTCAATGCCCTAGAATGCTTGGAAAAAATGTTCAGTAGAGATCATGTAGCAGCTGATGAATACCAGACTGAATGTTTCAAACTGTTAGACCAATACAAGGTTAGAAGAGCTGCTCAACTAAATGATTATATTCCATTTTGATAGGTGGCCATGCGATTAGTCAGAGGTACAGATGTAGAAGCCTTCGCTACTAAGTACTGTTTACATTGCCCCGCTGCTCTGGAACGAATAAGGGAAGGAAGGCCAATCACAATTAGAGATGACAAAGGAAATCTTCTCAAAAATATCGCTAATATTGTTGAGGTATAATTTCATAACTGCTTTTTTTTCTAAGCCTTTGTTTGTAGGTATTCATAACATTCTTTGATCAACTAAAACTGAATGTGAGAGCTGTCGACGAGCTATTCCCAAATTTGAATGAATTGTATACTTCGATCAATTCAATGTCCCGATTACCTGAAAACTTCGATGGCAAAATAAAGATCAAGAAATGGTAAGTCTTTTAGTACTACCTTTGCCTAACTTATTCTGTAAAGGCATGACCGTTTGTCCGACATGAACGCTTCTGATGAAATCACGGATGAGGACGCAAGACAGATGATTTTTGAGTTGGACGGTGCTTACTCAGCTTTCATCAAGTTTTTGCATAGTGAACAACATTGATAGCCTAATTTATTATGTACAATCACTTGTAAATACTTAAATTATGCTTCAGATTTGAAGCAAATAAATTAAAACCCATTCACCACTGCATTAGAGCATATTTGTGTTCTCGCTTTACCCTGGAAACAACCACCCTTCCATCGTGAGAAAGAGATGCAAATGTCCATGCATCGCCATGAGACCAAGTACAGGAATATCTTAAGTAATCGAAGGTACAATATTTTTCTAGCAGGACCTCTTACACAGATTCTTCGTGTTCTTCTATTGTTTCGAGTACACCATCCTCCAAACGTTCCGTACCTTCTTCAGTATTCTGAGAGTCAGCTTCACTACTCACAGACTGCACGCAATTCAAAACCACACACGCGTCACTGCCAGATGTCAAGAGAATCTGATCGTGCACGGGATGGTATCGAACCTGGTGTAGTAATGCATTGCAAATTTTCCGCAGGCTTAGGTATACCTGCCAGATCCAATGCGCATGAGGACGAAGTACAATAAGAGGCTTTTGCAATTTCCGTGAGTCCCAAATTCGCACAGCAGCGTCGTCTCCGCAAGTGGCAATGCTGAAGCGTTAGAGGTCTACTGAAAAGCGAGACGTAACGTACCCATATTGCAGGTTTGGATTGAAATCCAAATGAAGAACTCTATGAACGTGAGCGTTCTCAATAGTGAAGCTTGGCCTAAAAACACTTGGTTATTCTTCAACGAATGAACGTTACAAACCGTTCCAAGTCTCTGCAGTCATAGTAAAGTACATCAGAGTTCATTGCAATTCCTAGATCTCTACCTCCATTGTGTGGGCTCCAAGCCTGAGCATTCACAGTGTCATTTAACGGTTGCTTCCTTATAACCTGAAACCCTAACACTAAAGAATGAACTGTATCGTGGAGGAACCTTCAAGTCTTGGTTCATGTCAAACAGTGTCAAATCTTTGGAAGTTAACGCACTTCCAGTGTTAGTTTGACTTTCCCACTCAAAACTGAAAAGCAACACAAGTCTTATAGAAGTATTCTGTTGATCACCTCTTCGGGCAGAATTCGGAAGTTGTCGAAGCTAAGGTGTCTAACTGGTTACGTTCCCGATTCATTTTATAAATGGAATGGCCAAATTTGGGAGTAGTTTCCCTGTCTGAAGAAACAATTGAGAAATTGATTGATGAAATTGCTTACAATCTGCTGAGCTACATGCGAACATATCATGGTCTTCCGATGAGCCTGCTATAGCCCGTATTTCGCCAGCACTGTGAACAAAAGCTTGAGAGGATATTCGGGCATAGTTATCCTCTACAGTTAACAGACATATCTAATGTATGATGATTAAAGTAACCATCAAGATATGCACCTGATTATCAAGTTTAATATTGTTCGTTCCTATCAGAAATTGAACGGTATCCTCATTCAAGACACTTGCTAGACATCGAGACTCCAGGTCCAAACCATACATCAAACACTCCCCCATAACTCCTATAATCTTAGTTTTCAAACTTTCACGGTTCACAAAAGATAAGATTAGATGGTTTGAACCCCCATAAAATAAAGAACAAATAGTAATAAGAATTATATTCAATACAAACATGCGTTTAGATAAATCTACACATAACTTATATTATAACTACGAATTTCTATAAAATAAACTATTTGAAAGTACTAGTTTTCTTGGATTAGACTTCCAAGAGATATTGAGCAAACTATTCGAAGACTATGTATAACGTCTTATTTGGCAAAATATGTGTTGTACATAACTCCCAACATAGAGAGGGAGAAATTGATGAAAGTTGTTATTATTAAAGCATATGTCCAGATCGAGCGGCAGATGAATTGGTCAAATATAGATCGGATAGCACCCATAGTGACTGTTGATGAGGTAATATCAACTTCTTGAGGTGAAGCTACCCATGAAAGTCCTCCTGAAAGTTCAGCCGTTGACAATCAATTAATTGTTTGAGCGAAATAAGTACCTGTAGTCTTCAGCAACAGAGCGAAGAAGAAAGCGAGTAAAATTGGGGAGAAATATTGTAGAACAACGGCAGAGAAGTAAGAATAATACCGGAAAATCTGTAAAATGAGAAGGTAAAAAGGATTCTCATCCTGTTAACACCAGTGATTGAAGAGCGGTGTTGCGGACGTGTCCAGTTTCTTTCTGTAGTTCCTGAACCTTCTCATGAGGCATATCTAGATGAGCCTTAATAGAACAACTTGTAATGATGAATGAATTTCACAGTTACCTGAAGATGTTGCTTTCTCAAAGCCAGTCTTAGGAGTAATGTGAATATTACAGTGTATATACGGAAAATGTCGAGAGACTCTTCAGTGAAACTGTTAATTAGTTGGATTAATTATATTCATTTCAGTTCCTTCTTACAGCATTCTTTTCCCATGTACCAGATGAGCCTTAACTGGGTGGAGATACAAGGTTAAAGTAAATAGGGGCATCAGAAAAGAGAGATGAAGCACAATTCTTGATGGTACACTGGCAACTTCAAGGGCTCTTGTATACATGTTGGCAAAGCGGAAGTTGGGAAATACAAGCATTGCCGAAAGCAAAGAAAACAAGACAGAGAGAGATATATACCTAAATAGAAGATCATTTTAAGAGAGCAGTTTAATCACCCACAAGAGCAGAGGGCTTTTCAGTTTCCCATCTGTCTCCGCAACGTTTCCAATCTCTTCCATGAACTTATCGATATTGATACCAAATTGATCATAAGCTGAACGAAGGAGATTTTTCTACAGCTAATTCACAACATCACAACCTTTGAGCATATCAACGTCAAAGAATCTGTTTGACCACATCGTGAATATACAGGAAATCAAGAAGTATAGAGCTCCAAACGTAAACAACAGACTTCGTTCATCTTGATTCACAATCAGCCAGGCAGTCAATCGAGCCAACACCTTATGAGTAGAGCCATTGTAAGAGTTCAGCACACAGACGCTACCTGCATGACGAACGCGACTCCGATGAACAGCCATATGATAGAAATGTTCATATCTCCATTAGACGGGAAGTAATAAAGAAAAACTTCACTAAGAACATAAGTCTGAAAAAAGTTCTGTTAAGTCGAGATAAACACTGAGTTCTCACCACCAAACATAATGGAACGTAGAGAGAAAGCCAATGAACTGATGTGAAAAGAGGAAAGTTCTGTAGTTCTAGTTCGTTTACTGGAGCTCTATTCAGAGATAAAGGGATATGCTTTGGCACATTGAAACCCGACATATCTTCCTCTTCCCTATATACACAAGAAAACTGATCATTGGAATACACTTTCAAACCGTTTGCGTCTTCTCAATCTTGGATTCGTTTTTTCCTTCGATGAAGGCAACAAAGACCTGAGCTCATTGTTCGTGGGGGCCAAATAACGATAAAGTCTAGATTAGGTGTGAAGAACCTCTCGAGATGAAACAGACTCACCCTTTGACTATGAAAAGTTGAATAATAGATATTCTAGTGCCTAATTTGCTAATAAGTGTGAGAACAATTAGAGAGATTACAACGTGAAACCCCAGTACCGCCTGAAATAAAGGATGAATGCCATATCCAATCGAACATTACCATCTTCCCATATATGTGCTAGATTAATTCCCCTGTAAAAAAATCAAATAATGACATCAGAAACATAAGAAAAGATACAAATCGGTGGTTTTGAACCAACAGCCGAACTAGATGAGTCGAATAAAAAAAATTTAATAAATATATGCATGCTTGAAATAGTAAAAAGACGAACTAGCTGCGAAAAAAGATCACATAATGGAAACTAACAACCATCTTATACCTCTAATAAATATATCACAATTTTGAAGAATTATTAATAAATTAGTAAAGATTCTTGTTCCATGGAAACGTTATTTACACCACAAACAAGCATCACAACACGATATGGCTAAGGTCAACTATAGTCAAGTGAATTCGCAGTTAACAACTTCGAAGAAAACAATGAATGAAAGTCTTTGTAGTCCGTTTCCTGCAAGAATGCCGAATCTAAGAAACTCGATCATGTAGTGAAAATACCATTCAGTTCTTCGTGGTTGTGGCTACTTCTTTCAAAAACCTTTGAAGGACGGACGACAGAAGACTACGCATAGTGTGTCCTTCTGCTGTTTCAACAAGCTTGCATAACCTTAATGGGAACTCTTCACCAAGTTTCGGTAGCATATCTCGAGGTAATTGAAGACACTCTTTAAGGAGTTCACAAATTACAGGAGAATAAGCAACACGTCTTGCTTCAGATCCGGCCTCACCGTACCCATCGAGAGCTGCGGACACCACTCTATAATTATTGTGCTAAACCAACAGTATGCATAATATTATTTTACCCCAATACTCCTTGTGCGACTTGATCTTTGACGTCTTCGGAGCGAGGGTCTCGTAAAAGTCTCAGCAAGATGGCTAAGTTAGCCCTTAGAGCATACGTTTCTTGTCTGAAATATCCAATGAACGGAGTCATCAGTAGACACTAATACCTTATCAAGTTCGGCTTCGACGTTCCTCTGTTACCGGCTTTCCAAAGTATAGTTCTTTGTCCATTATTATCGTTGAACTGTTTAGCTAGTTTTTGACTATCGGCAAGAGCTTCGACAAGACTAAAATACGCCTACATTTCATGATCATTAAATTCTCCATACCTCAATAAGAGTATAGGTTTCATTGTGCTGAACAAGCCTCCTTCACCACTAGGTTCGGAACAACCACTGTTCATCATTTCAGTTTCTACAAAATCCAAAAATAGAAGAGAATAAACATGTGACTTACCATTTGTAGTTTTCCTTCCCAAGACAATCGACGTAACAGCGTCAACTAGCTCAGACTGTATAACACAAAAAACAATTTGTTCCGAAAACGCAGAATCACCGAAGTTAGATCTAAATATATTTCAACGTTGTTGGAAGCATAACTGAAAACGTGTCACCCCATGGACCGGCTATCGTGCTCATCTTCACCTAAAGGAGAAGCAACCCTACCCGTGGGAGAGTGAAGTGTGCCGTTCTCGGGCTCCCAGGTTAACAGACTGAAGAAAACTCAAGAGTAACAAAAACTGTGAGGGATGTTTGAGAGAAAAAGCACTCACGATTTTGGAAGTGTAGTTGAGAACAATTTTTTGAACAACGATATAGTCATTTGCCACATGTCATCGGTGAATCGAGGTCCATTCGAGAGAATCAGAGTTTCAAGACATTGAACGGTAGATTTAGCTAGCTGTTCGTTCTCTGGAAAGAGCGAAAGTTTATGAGAACACAAGAAGAGAGATACATACGTTGCTGAATGCATGTTGTGAACTGATCGTATATTGACGGAAGTAGAAGCTCTCCAAGATCAGGGAAATACCTCGTAAAAACATCAACGATAGCGTAGAGGGCATGATTGCACGTTGTCATCATCCATTCCCTCTTCTAAAAAATCAGTTAAGAAAAGGAAAGAAAAACAACATTACATCACTACGGTCATCCCTTTTCGCTTTGTCAAATATCCGGAACACGATAGAAAAGAGATCTTTCCACCAACTTGGTTTGAACGTTTCACCATGAACTTTCATGATTTCGAACAAAACAGATAAACTTCTGGTTCTTATATCTAACTTTGTTCTGTTGATGATTGTGCTGGAAAAAATAACCATAATTTAATGTTAATGTTAAAGCACCCACTGAAGTTCGAAAAAGATTGGGAACCATCCACGAAGCCATATTCTTTGATCCCCTGTTACGCTCCAGGTTTCTCGTCCTGGCATTTCGTACGGAGCATTGAGAATAACTTCTTGATTGGCAGCAACATAGCTAAACATTACATTAATTAAAGTTTCAACAATGCTCAAGAAAAAATTGCTCGAGCGAAGTTCCGGTGAAAAACGGAACTCGCAGGATATATGAACGAGGAGTGATATACGCATAGATCTATACTGTAAACAAACTTACTCAGCACACATTCTTATTAGTCGAATAGCTTCCATGCTGATGTCCGGTAAAACTTTCATATGTTCATACTCCTCATCAGATCGAGATCCCTTCACCGATTTCTGTTCCACATTACAAGCAAATTCAGCCAAACAGCCGATAGCTTCCTATTACACATAGTCGACTTAAACGATTAGAGAAACACTTACTTGGAAAGAGTCTAGGACTGAAGCAAAATCTTTAGCGAAATGTTGGGTTACAACTTTAGACGCCGTTTGGAAAGCGGCTTCTACTATTTCTACATGATGATCAGCTGAATTTGATTATTAACAAGATATCTGAACGTTAGTCGAACCTGCAACTTTCTTCCAAACAGAGAATAAATTTACCCATCCTGATTTTAATCGCGGCGCATGTGCTTCGACTAAGTGACTGCAACAGGCAACAACTAGTTCCCTGGTGTGAACGGACTGATTAGTATTCACAATAACCTGATTGGAAATATAGTTTAAGCAGGGAAAGTATTCACTCACCTCAAAAGGCTTAAGGAAGTCTTTTTGGAACCTGAAATTAGGTAACTCTCCTCGTTCAAGGAACTTTATAGCTAGTTGTCGTAGAGCGTCTACTGAGAAGTAGGCAACTGACTCATTTTTGTTACAACCTGAACAATTAAAAAAAATATATTGTGCACAAACAAACAAATCCCACCTGCCATGTCGAAATGAGCTCCTACAACCGCCCAAATTCGTCTCCATTCTAATCGAATTCTGTTCATGTTGTAGAAGGCGACCTCAACAAGTTCGATATAATTATGAAACAATCATATATTCCTTACCTCCACTAACTTTCCTAGTAAAAACATACGGGGACCCCCAGATTGAACCAATTCCTCCCTGGAAACTGTGCAAAGCGCTGTTACAAAATACACAATTCCTTCGCCTGATAACCGACTCGACCCATGGAATATTCTAAAGTACATCGTACAAAATCCTGACAATGATATCTTGGCACCTGTCTAAGGCAACTACTACAACTTGCGACGTCGTTTCTCCTAGCGTGTCCTGGAGAGATGCCAAAGTTCGCTCATCTAATGATCCCGTACTCTTCATAACATCTGAGTTGAATAATGATTTTTGAAAAGATAATATAAAACAAACATTGCTTGCTACTATCTCGATCCATTTTCGTACCATTTCCTAACCCCGTTCCAATTAGTTGAGCTAATTCTAATTGACTCATACATTTTATGATATCCACCCAATTTTCTTCCAAGTAGTCACCATTCTCATCCCCTGAAACATGTATAAGACTTTAGATGTTGACATGTTCACACACCTATTGCTAATAAAAGTTTGATAGCCTCGATGTTCTTTTCTTTCATCTCTGCCATACCATTCTTGGCTGTTAGTAATGTGAACCTAGCTAATGCCTCAAAAGTAAATATTACATTAGATCGATTTTTGACAATTTACTTGAATGAATGCATTCCTCTCCAATTTAGCTCTCAGCATACAAGCCGCTCGAACTCCTAGACGGAATCCACGAATGCATAAAGCCCATTCATCAGGATCGTCAGATGTCTGAAGTCCCATACTGAATGCTGCTAAACAAGGAGTCCAGCAAATCTGAAATTCTAGATGAGTAAGTTTCTAAAGATAACGCTCACCTTGAACATAGGTTTCACATGATGTTGATGTTGGGCAGAAGTAAAATTGGAATCGGAAGCAGAGACACTTTCCATGAGAGACCTGGCGGTTTCAGACATAGCTTCTAACTCTAAAGTTGCTAAAGCTTTTCTTTGCTTATCTGAACTATTATGCTGTGCATTAGTTGCTGAAAAAAGTTCTTCCAATTATGAAGCTCGAAAAACAAAACTTACATTTCAATAATTTAGTTGCACCCGCTTTCATTTTGATTTCATTACGTGATATATCTTCATAAATAGCAGTTAAGATCTCTCGAGGAATATCGCTTCCGTTATTAATACCACGATTCATATTTATATACTGTTCTAGAGTCATTTTATTCTTGACCTGAAAAAGTACAAAAAACCATATAACTTCGTTGGAGTAAAAGTATTCTACCTGTGGACTATGTAGATCAGTTGTGAGCAAAATGATAGAATATGCTAAAACATAAGCGGTGTCTGCCGAAGCAAAGATTCCAAGACTGGAAAGACATTCTTATTCAGTTTTTCTGATTCTCACTGACCTAGGATTGCATTCGCAATAACGCGAAGCAAACTTCTCCATCAAGCGATCAATCTTTTGAGCTTCTCCAGGTAAGCGGAATCTTTCGACAAACAATCGAAGAGCAGTCACGATATCTCTTGACGAGAAATCCATGTCATCAACATATGCGTACATGATTTGCTTGTTAAACCTGAAGAAGTAACATCACGCATTCAATGCTCGATTAACGTACTCATCGGGATCACTGATAAAGTCTCCGACAACGGTCTTATCCAGTCTGTCTTCTCGAGCTAAGAACTCAGCTATTTCAACAGCTTCAGTGCCCACGAAACCATGTTGTTGTAAGAATTGTAGCCCTTGTTTGGGTTTCTTGCCGAACCTGAGTTCTCTCAAAGTTTACTAAAAAACATGGGAAATATCTTACATGTATATTCCTTGTTCCATGAGATCTTTTTTCTGCTTCAGATTCTCAAACTTATCAATGGTGGGAGATTGGTTTTCATCAGTTGTGTTATCCCCATTTTTGGAAGAAAGCTTGGCAAGTTCACATACATCGTACCAATCAACAAGACATTGCAATAAATCTGTCAAACAACTCAAACCAAGAAGTCTCATAGCTCTTTCTCTGCAATTTTATTCACTTTAAGGCGAATACTTTTTGGTGATACCTGTCTTTTTGAGGAACAGGAGCAGTTTCATTAACACTGATCCGGCTAGTTTTGGAAACAACATCTACCAAGCATGAGAATACATTATAAGAAGTCAAGTCACAATCATAATTCACATAGATGTCAACTACAGACTGTGGGTTGGCTAGTATTTTTCCTGAACAAAATCTTTGTATGAGGTCGGACATTGAGGCATACCGATGGTGTTCAGAACTATCCACTTGTGTTCAAAAGAGCAAGATGTGGATTCTAACATAGAAATGATTATCTCCTTGAAAAAAACCTAAACAAGGAGTATAATTAATCAACCATCGCTCCAAGCTTACTTCGATCTGAGGCTTTAAATGGATTTTGAACTTATCGAGTAGCTGCACGAAAATAGCAAGAGATTTCTCAAAAACCTTAAACTTGATGCGTAAATCCACCAAAGACGTATGATCATACCTGGACTATTGGGGAGACAGCATTTCGCGACAATGCCACACAAAGTGATTTCTTTATCAAAACAAGGAAAGGTGGAGCGTTCTGAAGAACGCTTGAAGAGTTTTGGAGAACTAGTAAAAGCATTTCCAAAGCCAAAATTTTTGAGCGTAAATGTGTATTCCTGCAATTTTGCATGACCAATTCGTGATAAAAAATTTTTCTCGTACCGTGGATCAGCAATATCTCCCTCATCCTTTTGAGCCAAAACGCATAGTGCGCGGAAAACTAAGAAAGCGTCCTTCTGGTAAACGTTTGGAAAACTGATTTGATCTTCAGGTGATTCACTTTCAGTTACAGTTGACATAGCACCTCTTGAGCGTTTCTCTAGCTCTTCTGATGGCTAAATTCACAAAAAATAAACAATATGAAATGAAAAAACTTACAGGATCTAGAGAGGAAGCTACAGTCGTATTCACAAGATGTTCAACAACTTCCCTGACCACAGTTGGATCGTCTTTCTCATCTCCAAACTTTTCCATATTGTCAAATACAGTGTTTATAATCTGAGCAGCAGGGAAATGAAAATAAAATAAATGAAAAATCTTACTTGTGTCAGAGAAGCCTTGGAAGTTGCCTGGTTAACTGGATCTTTCGAGGCGAGAAATATAGTGAAGCAAGTGCGAACTGCTAGTAGAAGAGATCCTTCGTGAACGGCACAAGTTAAACTGAGCACTACAGCCAAAATTGCCTTAATTATTCATTTTCTTAGTCAAATAAAATCGTGGATTCTACTTTTATTATCTGAAGAATGACCCCTTCATCAGTCCCTTGACCAGAAAATGCGGAACAGATCGACTCAACGATTCGATCAATAAGCTTTCGTTCTGGATTGGAAGAGTCGGCTCCTTTGCCAGTCAATTGTCCATGGGCGATGAGTTTCTAGAGAAAATTGTGAAATATCGAACGGAAATGAGTAATACTTGAAGACAATCCAAGCTGGCCATTACGATTTTCGGACTTTTGGATTTGCAAGCCAATTCGAAAGGTAGAAAGTACCTATCAGCCTCGACAGCAGTAGGCATAGAGCCATTTTTTTCCTGTTCGGACTTGAGTTCCTCTGAAATGAACAGTGTTTCGAGGTAAAGGGGGAGGACATACCTAGAGCATTCTCGCAAGCCTTTTTTAGTTGTAAGTTTTCTTTCTTTTTTATATCACGATCCGCAAGTATTTTTTCTATTGCAGTTTGTAAGAGCATTGTTACGAAAATTCAATTGGAAAATGTTTCATTAAATTAAATATTTCATTATTAATCACTAGCCAAACTGAAAAAGATAAATTAGAGGAAGGTAATCGGAAGTGAATGTGAAGCATAAGAAAGAGTTGAAAATAGCTCATAAGTAAAAACTATTGTTTTCACAATGGTTCACTTCATTAGAGTAATTATTCATACACAAAATATTGAGAATAAGCAAAAAGCCGTTTGATAAAAAAGGTCCGTTGTCAGACTTGCATTGAGTTGACGTGCACTTGAAAATGATATGACGAGGAGAGGTTGCATTTGACTAATCCAAGAAAGCAGCTTTTCCTTTACGAGATTCATACCTGGATGTATATTCGAAAAATATTCGCGGGAGAAGTTGAATAATCTTGTTTGTATGGAATCGATCTGATACGACTTCCTTAAAGCCCTGAGTCTCCTCTGCAAGCGACCTCGTTTGTATTCGTCAGCTTCTATTTGAATAAGCGTCAGTTGGAGGTTTTGTGACTCTAACGGCTTCTATTAATCAATTTCATGTTTCAAAATGTTGTGTTGTTTGACCCATTTTCCCTTTTTCCATTCGCTTTTTTCACATTACTTTCAATTTTGAACTTTGTAGTTTGTTTCCATACCGTACTGTTACCCTTAACTTTTCTTGAAATTTTTTAGGCCATTTTCAGCATGAAAGTGATGGCTTCATACTCCATGAAATCGAATTATGGAACGTGAACCGTTCAGTTCAGAAGAATTCATATGGATAAAAGAGATCCAGAAAGAGATAAGGTGAGTAAATGGCCGGTTTCCATCTATTTACTGAAATTTCAGTTATGAAGCTGCTCTACACTATGGACTAGTGGATGTAAATAGTGTTCCTACTAGTGAAATAGTTCTCAAAGTAATAGATAACATAAGACTTTTCGTTACCCCTTAAATTCAGATTATTTGGGAAACATTCTCAGGCAAATTCGTTACAACTTATGAGTTCCTGGAAGGATATGAACGCTGTTACGAATATAGGAAGCTTCTGAATGTAAGTCTACAGAGTTTAGGTGAAATGGATTATTGTTTTTAGAGAGAGACAGAGGCTCAAAAACTAAAAGCAATGTTCATGGAAGATATTTTGACTAATTCGAATGTCAGGCACAGTACTTCGGGCTGCCTTTCTCCTTCAATTGTAGACAGTGGAAGGGAGAGCCCTGAATTGTAAATAAATTTATATATAAACCGTTTTTTAAGCATGTTCTGAGGTTATTTTGTCTGTTTATAGGTGGACATATTGTAAGGGGTTGTTGTAGTGATCTGAGTTAACTGATCGCGAGGTCGAATCGACCAATAAGGATTGCCGTTTTAGTGCCTCTATAGCTCAGTGGTAGAGCGTTGGTCTTGTAAACCAAAGGTCGGTGGTTCGATCCCGCCTGGAGGCATATGCTACATTTTGTTAATGCATTAGCTGTTCATAGAACAATGGATTTTATTTAATTCACAAGTATTCTTCCATTGTTGAACGAGGGGTTATGTGAAAATGTGAGGAATTTTCACCTTGGAGCAATTGCGACTTTTCAAAAAAACTGATCAAAACAGTACAACACTGTGTGTATAGTGATAACAAATTTAAACGTGGTCGCTGATAAAGGTTTTTTTCTTAAACGATTGGATAGTTGATGTTCCGATCGACCGAATCGGATTCAGAGTCAGACAAAAACTGAAACAGGATAAAGAGTTCGGTAAGTATTTTGTTCCATCTAACTGTAAGTTTTCAACGCACTATCGCTGCGTGAATGATAAATTGATATTTGTGTAGAGGTCAAGAAAGACTGTATATTTAAACTTTCACACGGAAGATAAGTTTATACCTGAAACACCATTTGAATATTGCTCATGACAGTCATACGGAAACATTTCCTTATCTATACATGTGTAGCTGGTCGGCATGCACTGAGTACAGTCCACACAAGATCAAATCAAGTCCATTTACCAAGGTCAAAGTTTACTTCTGCAAGTGAGACATCGAAAAATAATAAGACGGTAACATGATTTCGTTCGAACGTCTTCCAAAATCGTGCGCATTATCCAGTTTTCGGAAATCATTCTATTCAGTATTGTAAACAGTATGCTGCTCTCAGTGGCATAATATACTTTGCTACCATCAGCAGTTTTGTAAAACAAGTGAATGTGCAAAGGTTATGTATGAAGTTTGTACAGAAAAAAAGCCGTCGTAAGCAAAGTGTGTACGTACATTGCTCGTGCATTTTCAATATGACGACAGCTGCCTCTGACTGGTTATATAATTTAAAAGTTTTGATTTTTTACGGATTGAATAGTAGAATTGTAAAGTGTACTGAATAAAATGAGCGAAGAGAGCTATGCTATATTATCAGGTGATACAGGTAATAGTACATGTCTCTAGAAAGGCTATATAAGGTTTGAAAAGTACAAATTATCGCTCATTTTGCTTTTTCGGACATGGCATGCAAGTAAAACGTTTTATTTTCTTCTTTTCGTTTTCTTATTCGAGTACTTTTATTTCTTTTGCTTTACCGATTAGTCTGTCACCCCATTTCTTATCATTCTTTGATTATGGTCTTCAATATCTTATCAAATTCTCTTGTTACACTTATTTCTTGAGAATTTTGACATCGTGGTTGTTGCTTTTCTAATAATTTTAGAATATTCTCATTTTCTTCTGTGTTACAGAATGGCTTTGGTTCGTAATCTGTTCAGAGCTTCGCTTGTGGCTGAACGAGCCTTCATTAGTTCTCGATTTATCTCTCAGTCGGCTGCTCTTCATGCTGGTATGTCATTCTCTTCCTAATCACAAACTTTTTGTATTTCCCTGCAGAGAGACGATACACCAAGAAGCACGAATGGGTTTCATTCGAAAACGGTGTTGGAACTGTCGGAATTACTGATTTTGCCGCGGTACATCCGTTACTGGCAGAAAACGAATAATTTTGCTTTTGAAGGAACAATTAGGTGATGTAGTGTTTGTAGAACTTCCTGAGCAGGGCCAATTCTTAGAGAGAGGCGATAATACTGGAGCTGTTGAGAGTGTTAAGGTATTGTCAATTAGTTAACGAATCTAATCTAAAATACTGTTAGGCTGTATCGGATGTATATGCTCCTGTTTCTGGAACCGTTGTGGAGACCAACTCTTTATTAGAACAAGAAAGTGGAAGAATCAACAAGAGTCCGTTCAACGAAGGTAGGTTTTATTGAATTTCTAGTCTTTGCCCATATCTTTTATGACATTGCCAAATGTTATCAATCTTCTTGTTTTCCCAAAACACGTTGTAATGCAAAAATTGCTCATATACTATCTTCGTTTTTTTAATATCAAGTTTCTTCTCTAAGAACTATCATGTCTAAGATATTTTTACTGAAATGTTTTTTGAAGGCTGGATCTACAAGCTGGAACTTAAAGATGTCAATGAACTCGCAGAGCTTATGTCAGAGACCGATTATGAGGAATTCAAGAACGGCGAGGAAGGCCATTGATAGCTCAACTTAGGTGCTCATTCTTTTGTACAAAAATTTTTTACGTTTGTGAAATTTCATTTTGTATTATTAAAGCAAATATTTATATTATTAAACATCACAAAACTTTGAATATCTTTTATTTGCTAATGCTTCCGATTATTCGTCTCTGGATCTGCTGGTTCCTAAAATAGAAAATTTTATCAGGCTTCTCCCTAACTATATACATGTTCTGGATGCCGACGACTATGGGGCCTGGCAGGTAGAGAAAAAGAGTTGAATGGTGGTATGTGACCCTGAATAACAGCTCAATTTATTATCATCACGAGTTACTATATATCGCGCAGTTAAGGCTATGGGAGCAAAACTCAACAAGACTGCACTTTGATCGAGAGAGTTCTTTAGGAACAGATCTTCAAACAAGACTCTGACAAAACGTTGATATGATCGAAAGAAAGTTTATTGAAAAAACAATCTCACGATAGATGAATCGCATCCGTGAGTTAAAGCGCGCATATCTTATTAGAATCTATTTTCTCACATAGAAGTTTGACATCCATTGAGGCATCATAGGAGGAGGCGGAACATCTGTAAAGATTTAACATGATATAGAAGTACTTGAAATGCCCACGATATGCTTCTGGCCCATTTTTGGGGGGAGGCATCGGATAAGGCCAAGGTGGAAATGGGAAAGGTGGAGGAGGTCCAGGCCTGAATAAATGAACGTGTTACGTTTGACAAAAGCTCTTACATGTACATAAACATGTGCGGATTAGGGAAAGGCGGTGGAATCATCTGAAAATGAATTCGAATGAATAACTGATGTTTCAAAAAACAACAAACCGAACTACCCATGAATGGTGTTGAAGACACTCCCGGTAAAGTGGGTGTCACTACTTTAGGTGGCTGAAAACGAAACATTCATTACAAAGTTGTAACGTTCCATACCTCGGACTTCGGAGTTGCTAGAGGTCGTTTCAAAGCAGCATGAAGAACAGATTCTACATTAGCTTCTGGTACTGTTTGACTACAAACAAGGCGTTTTCCGATTATGTTTGATACACTTTGTTCGGGAGCTAAATTACCAGAATTAGTTGTTAAAAATTATTTTTCAAAACCTTTCGATTTTGTAATGCTGGATGGACATCCACTTTTTTCTCTTTTCGATCCTGGTTCTATAAGAATTCGAATCAAACTATGGATATTTCGATGAACATACCATTTTCATCGCCGGATAATGGAGTGATGTTTAATGTTACCTGGAAAGGCTTTTACGTTTCATTCGAGAGAACTTTATCAATACCGTACCTTCGGGCTTGAGATCATTTTGTCGTAATGAGAGATTTGATAACTAGATGTTGGATATAAAGTTTCTTCTTTTGCTATACTCGGGGCATTTAATTGTTTTCGTATGAATTCTTCCGGACAGCTCGAAGGAACGCACGGCTGAACGCGTTATACTTTTTTTTTCAAAAAAGAATCAAAGCTTACTATTTCATCTTTAATATCCCCTATAGCCTCATCACAAGTTGTGTTCTGAGATTCGGAATCAATCTCCATATCAATTGAACCTAGAAACTCTGATGATTAGAACATCTAAATAAGAGTAAGATTACCTCTTTCAGAATCTAATTCGGGTTTTAGTGTTCCATCACACTCATCCACTGGCTCTAGTTTAATGTAGGCGTAGCTGTTGGAATTCAAATTGCTTGAGGTGGAAGAAAGTTTGTTGCAATCAGAAGAACTTATAGAAGAACACTCTTTTGAGGTAACTTGGTTTTCGGGTAGAGAACAGTTGGCAAATCTGTCATTGACAAGATGTGGGAACATAGCTTCCGTTGAAAACTTCTGATTCCTGTCGACAAGTGGCAGTACTTTTTCCCTTTTCGAAGTGTTCGCAAAATCGTTACTGTCTTCGGAAAAAGAGGTTTTCCTCCGTTTTCGTTGATTGCAAGCTTGCTTATCATTTTCTAAATCTTCATTTGGGTAGCTGGAGATGTCATCAATAGCCCTTCGAACAACTTTTGCTTGAAGCATCTCATTCGCATTTTGAGAGACTTGCAAATCTGTGAGGATTCCTCGAGTTATTTGGGATTGTTCATAGACACGCTCTGAAATGGGTAGTTAAGAACATATAGTAGGTTATACAACACGATCAAGCCAAAATATTCACGTTTTATTTCTTTTAATTCTGAAGACACAGTTGCCGTGGAGTCCTCTTCATTCGTACAAGGATTTGCACAGGCTGTAACACAAATATGAATATGATGATGTCTCAAGTTCACGGATTTACTACGACCACAACTTCAACTTACGTATATCACGTCCAGTACGATTGCCTAAGTACGGAGAAATATCAGGTAGCGGGCTTTCGCAATCAGAACACAGGCACGTTTTACGACATTTCTGAAAAGAGAAAAGTTGAATAGACTGAAACATAAAAACCAGTGACAACCTTCTGTTCTAATTTACAGTTATGATCATCACGGAAGGAGCATTTGCTTTTATCAACAATTAACCGTGAACAAGTGAAGTGTTTAACTCCAAAGTTTAGGATCTTCAGAACCTGAAAAGTTGAACATTAATGACTTCCGCTCGATAGCTACTAACCAGACGCTGCATCTCAACTATGGAAGTAACAAAGGTATCTCTTTGTTCCTTATGGGATTCCGCAAAAGAATGGCTTGCTTTCATAATTGTTGCCGCAGTCAACCAGGTGGCTTTGTCTGCATCCGATAATTTGTGAGTTTGCTTATCAAATTCCGCTGAAAGTACAATGAAAGAAGTTCGAACAGGAACTCTTACCCAATTTATTCAGTTCTTTATGAACATTTTCTATTTCTGTTAATAAACGACTGTGATCTTCGATGACATTGCGGGTGTAGCGTTTGCAGGCAATAGCGGATCGTGAAATATCTTTTAAACTTTTCTGAAGTTAGGAAATGAAACAAAGTTAAGTTTTTTGTTTACTTCAATAATTTCTCTTTGCTGTTCCTCTTCGAATTCTATAATAAGAATACTATGAGAACACAGAAAATTAGTTGGAAATACCCCAGGTCTTCAAGCGTTGTTCACTTATAATTTTTCGTAAAAACGGATTATTTACATCCAATCTTGGGGAAGCCGCAACCATCCCGTAAAAACATAAGATCTTTCGAGATAAAAAAAAAGCGAATGAGTACAAAATTAAAATTTCATTCGGATTAAGAGAGTTCGAGCAACAATTTAAAAAAAAACCTTAAAAAAACAATCGATAGTGATATTATCTCAAATGGTTTCGACACGATATTCAGCTCTTCCTGAAGAACTCAACTGTTAACAAATCAATAAAGGTAATTTTTTGTAATTAACTATCTGAATGTTGCGAAATAAAATTTTATATGGCCAGTGAGCTGAGGTAGGTTATGAACATTTTATTATATCTATACATTTGCACACATTTTCATTTAACCAATGGCGGATGAGCATTAATGTTTTTTAAACCGTCAAGAAATCCTTTTTTCATATGTGACACTACGTATAAGGAAAGAGTTCGCCAAACCTGTAAGTATTTTTAAAATTTAATTCAATATTTTTTTCTTTTTTTCACCTTTACTGCGTTCTTCTTAGTCTGCTCGTCGAAGTCAGGTAACTTGTTCATGTGATCTGATAGGGAGTGTTCCATGGCATCCTGCCAATTGACAAAATCTATTTCGACATTAGCCTAATCAATTACCTCGAAAATATCCCAATACTCGTGTTTGAAGCCACGGGAAGCGAATTTACAGTGTCGTTGACCTATCCCATATAAATAAGGCACCAATCTATCCGTGTGATATAAATTTTTTACTACTTGTGATAAAGTCTGTAAAAGCAACTGTCATACCCAATGAGACAATGCCAACATACTTGTACAAACTTCAGAGCTTGTCCTCTGAACTCTTTGGAATCCTTCCAGTTGTCGCCGTAGTGCTCCAAATAAGGGAATAATTTTTTACAATTTGGATTATGATAGAAAATATAAGTGTAAATAGCTGATCTGCAATATTTTTTTACTTCTCCACTTGCAGTATGAATATCTTACCCAAGGTTATAGAGAAAATCGAATTCGTCGCTCCATGTTCGCCGGAGGAGTTCTTTCTCTTGAACATTCGGCTCCCAGTTTTCGATATTCTCCAACTTAATTCTCTGCAGATGGAAATTGTAAGGTTTTCGAATGATTTAATGTTTGTTATATTGTTATTATGTGAATAGTGTCTAAGTATGTGACTAGAAGAAGTTCAAGATCAGTGAAACTTTCAAATCGTCCAATCTTATAACTTCTGACTACGTCTAAGATTCATAATTAGATTTAACGTTTGACTGACAAAATTCTTCACTGGACAACTAAATAGGTAATAGAAGTTTGGACAAATGATCACTCGTTTCCATGCATTACTGGATCGAAAAGTTTTCAACAGAAAAACGTCTGCAGATTTATGGGCTTATTTTTGCGGAAAGGCCGCTCCGGACATTTTTCCGTTGGAATAACTGTTCGATCCAGTCTAACACCATATATAGAGATGTACGATTGTACAACGAATACTATTTCTTACTAACCAAATCCATTGGTGTTGGCGGAATCTAAATGGTTTTCTATTGAAATTATGATTGCATATTGAGAAATGCAAATGTGACAGACACACTTAATCTTGATATTTCTCCAGCGAACTGCGGGCAAATCTCTGGAGGATCATTAATCTTTCGAATTTTTTTGTAATTCCCCGATAACGTGAGTGATTAGGTTTTATAAGATTTGGATGAAGGGTGAAGGGGAAGCAGAGTGAAGGAACATATTGGAAATAGAGAAAGTGCGCTTTGTGTCAGACAGAAAACACATACAAGCACGTCAATGCTTCAAACAAATTAGAAAATTCCAGTAAAAGCAAATAATAGAAATTGTGAAATCAGATTAAACTCTATTAGTTAGTTGAACTTACCCTTTCGCGGTCGTTCATTGTGGTATCACTACAGCGCCTTTCCACTTTTAATTTTCGATCAATTTGAGGAGTCGAGAATTCCTTGATTCCTTTATCAGTATTTCTAAAGATATTTAAATTTAAATGTATAAAAATAGAAACAGTGTGAATGTGTTGCAATAGGATGGCTTAGACAAAGAAATAAGTAAGAACCGAGTAAAAGATATAGAAAAGTTGGCTGCTAAGAGAAGCACAACAGCATGCGGATGCCAAAGAAATCAGACGTCTATCCTCCCGAGACTATTTTCAAGAGTTTGTAGTAATAACAAAGGAAACAACCAGATATTATATGAAAGAATGAAAGATGGAAAGAAAACTGCGATTAATATATCCTGAGGCCATATGCAAAGGTGAATGCAACCGCTCCTCACGAGTATTTCAATGAAAATAAACTTTCATTTATTCACACTTGAGATGTACGTGTCTGGCGGCATATGAATATAAGCGAAAACGAGAATCAAAGATTATTCTGTAATTAGAGTCAGAACGTAAGAATAAAAAATGTGAAAAAAAAGATTTTTTTGTGTGGCCGCTACTGCTGCTCTGCTACGTGTACACAGATGAATAGAAGAAGATGATTGCAAAATGTATTATTATTTCTTATTGTTTTCATTATTATGTGTTTAGTTATAGAGCAGCCGCAGTGTGAAGCTCGCACATCTTCTGCTACTTCTTTTTCGTAACAAAATGATCAGATTTCAAGTTGGATTTTTTAAGTTAACGAATGCTTGAAAGTCAACAATGAAAACAACAAAATGTTAAAATGGAATCGTTGTGTGTGTGTGTGTGTGTGTGTGTGTGTGTGTGTGTGTTAAGTGAGAAGATGAAAATCAAGAAATCAAAAAAATTCCAAAAAAGGATTATTCTTATTTAAAGTAAATAACGAAAAATGAGATAAATGAACTCTCGCGGCAACGTTTGCAATCTGAGATTTGTCTGAATAACGAAATATTCAAATGAAAGCGTATAAGAATATTTTAGGAATTTTTATTAAATTTAATTTCTGCAGAAAATTATTAAAATTTGAAAGTTTCATCTGAAACTTCATTCTTTCCTTGTCTTTCATCACTATGTTTACGGGAACGTAATCAAAAAACGGAAGACAAAAGTGCCACGAATAGACATGCGGAACATTCAGTTTTGTTCTTCCGTCTTCTAAGCTAGCAAGTTCTATTCATCTATAAGCTCTATCCTTCACTTTGTATTCTTTTTTGGCATAATTTCTTCTCTCTACCTCTCCCTTTATCCCTCTTTCACTCTTATTCCATTTCTCTCTCTCCCTCTCGCTCTCTCTCTGTTCCTTTGACCTCATCTTTCTCTTCAAATTCTTTGTTGTTTTTTTTTCTCTTCATGAGGCCTCCCTTCACCCTTCTTCATTTTCATGCTGAAGGCAGTAAGAGAGAGTAAGAAATAGAGAGAAAATCCTACATATGAGAACGAAAAATATTTCAAAAAGAAACAAAAAAACTATTACATAAATATAATGAGCTTCTCTATGAGATCTCTTTCGTCATGCCTCTAACTCTCCCACTCACCCTCTCCCTCTATTACAAACTCTCATTCTTCCACTTTCTGAGTTTTCTTTCTAAACTTAGCGAATTAAGACGAATTCTCTCTATTCACTTATTTTTGGGGCTAAAATCGTTTCATTTTTAATTTTCAAGCAGAAACTTTGTCATTTCTTAAGCAGGAAAAGAGCACTCGCATCATGAAAATGCATCTTTTTCCGGATCTGATAGAATGAAAAGGGAAGAAATAAAAATTGATTTTCAAGAAAAGAGAGGAAGAGAGAGAGATGTAGTGAGGAGAAGGGAAATACTTATAGAGAGAATTCTTGATGAAACTGACATATTTATAAAAAAACTGAATGTATAAAAATTAAGAACTAATGTGCCGTGGACTACCGAATCTGAATTCACAAGAATTTCTTGTCGAGAATGCTTACAGACTTGAAAAATGTGCTTAAATGGAAAAAACTCAGAAAGCAATCGCTCTTCACTCAAATATATTCAAAAATGAACACATCAAGCTTCACGTACCAAGTATGCCGTCAATATTGCGGCGATGTGAGAGGAACAGCGGCTGTTAATGAACTCCCAAGTTATTTTTCTTCTGATTAGTTCAAAAATGAATAGGAAGACGAAAAGAGAGAGAGAGAGAGAGAGAGAGAGAGAGACAGAGAGACGGAAGATGAAATAGGGGGGGGGGGTTGAGGAAACATTCTTCATTTGGAAAAAAGCAAACTTCAATATTCAGACGTTTAAAAATGCTTTGCTTGTTGGGCTTTTTGGATGACTGACTAATCGAATTTGATAGAAAGTCAAAGAATCGAAATATATTTTGTTTCTTTCAAAAAGTTATTTTGTCAGTTTGGATGAAAGCTCATACAAATCATTACGTTTAATGATTGACTTTCAGATTTTGTAAATTTGATTGTTCAAAAAAGAAAATTCTATGGCAAAGGGAGGATTGATGAGAGTACTAGAACAAACAATAGGAAGAAGAAAAAAAAACAAATTTCAAATGAAAGATAATAAATGTTTCATTTCGGTTTTACATTTGGCTGACAAAATATTGTTTTTACACTTTAACACTCAACCATCCTCTATGTGTTGACAATTGGCCAACCCAAATGAGTTTCGAAGATGAATTTCGATAAAACAAATATTTCAAGGAAGTACTTAAAAGTAAAATGACCACTGGTCATAGTTGTAGCCTATTCATATAAATATATATTTAATAATATATATTATATCATATGATTAGTTTGGTCTTATAACTATGTGTTAATATAAATTTATAATTGATTAGTTGTAGTGGATACATGCTTGGATAGTGCAAGTACGAAACGGATCACAAAAAGAATTAAATAAAGATAAAAAAGAAGAGAAATTAGATGAATAAAGAAATAGATGAAGTAAGTAAAATTTTTTTTTTGTTTTAGAACGTTCAGAACATCCCTTATAGTCTGGATGATACTCTTAAAGGATAATGTATGAGAAGAAGATGAGTAAGAGGACAAGTAGACTAGAGTTAGAGAAAGAGAGTAACAGAGAGTAATAGGATGAAGTAGATCAAGACTATCACATGGAGTAGATCAATCGAATATATGAGAGATGGAGAGAAAATGAAAAATATTAAAAATTAAATGGATAACATGTGAATCTGAATGTGACAACATGCCTGGTACTGACAACAATCAAACTAACCTTGTATGATTATTTGTTGTATGGAATATTGAGAATATATTCACAACGAAGTTCCTCGCTGAGGATGGAATTTGTTTGAAGGACGTCATACAGCCCCTTAACACATAATTATAATAAATTAAATATAATTAAATAATATAATATTTGGAAGAATTCATCTCATTCGCTAGACAGTTCTCTTGTGGGCGATAAAAAACACCATAAAAATCATTTTTATAAAAGGTTAAATGGATATAGCAGAAGGATATGAATAGGATGAATGAGCTAATCCATGTTTTTGCATTCATCTTCTTCATTGAAAAACGAAAAAATCTTCGTCGAAAGGTTATGTTTGTCTGAAGCTCAATCAGTGATCATATCAGTCATTAACGAAATGAAGCCTGTGTTAAGAGAGGTTTTCGAAATTTTTACATAATTTATGGGACAAGCTGCATTACAGAAACCCTTGAAAGCTTTACTTCGATTTTCAGCTGATTCATAGATTAGCGAGAAATGTGACCTGTGTATGAGAGCAACCAATCTAAGGATATGTATGCCCTTAGGACCAAATAGGTAATATGAGGTTGGTGCTCATAGCAAGTCAAACAGAAGTAAAGTAGTAGCGTGGGATGAGGAAAGTTACGACAAATGAGAAAGAACCAGAGACAACCGCTATATATATCTAAAAAGGGCAAGTATAATCCGCTTATATGTATCTGGCTGTTCACGTGTTCCACGTAAGAACATGTGAGATAGTCGTTGACGTCACTCACACGAAGTTTGTTCCAATTTCCTCATGTACAAGCAGATTCATTTGCTTAATTTGTTTTATTATGAGACGGAAATAATTAATAAAATATTCCCCGCGCTGTTAACCATTCTGTCTCATTTTGCTAAATTCATGGGAATTTGAGCACAAGTTTCGCGTGCTCTCACGTGACACGTTCCTTCGCCATCCAGAATTATAGTTGAGAAAACAGAAAAAGGATGTTTGAACAAATTTGATTATACGGCTGCTTCTAAGCCACGTGAATGAAAAGCTTCTTCAGAATATTTTTATTAAAATCAAAAAAATACGTAACTAGACGTGATTATGGAGGATGAGAAGATTAAAAAACTGGAAGAAAAGTAAAACGATACTTTCATCGGATGAATGGTCTGTTTTGGAGAGAGGAAAGCATGTAGAACGAATTAAAGCCGTGAAGGTGGACAACACCAGCTTACAGAGGGTGGTAGGCAGGAGCATAAAACGAAATTTTGAAGCTTCTCTTGGGAATTTTAGAAGGACGACCGGGAATTTTCCATAAGATGAGAATAGGAAAAAGGGTGAGGGAGTGAGAGGGACAGGATGAAGCTAAGATGTAAAGAGGAAGGTGCAAAAGAAGAAAAAAAAGAAAAGAAAATTAAGATGAGATTGTAAAATAGCTTACTAAAGAGGGAGAGTTCGAGATTAAGAAAATGGAAATGAAACAGAAGCACGAACGACACCAATCTCATACTCTCAATTGCATAATATTCTCGTAATTAACAAGCAAGCCTCATCTTGTACGTAATCATCGTTTTGTAAAATGGGAATTCTATGAAAGGCCATTAATATTTACAAATTTTTTATGAGGGAAATCTTCTCTCGTAAAAGAGCAAAAGAGAGAGAGAGAGAGAGCGGAGAGGTTGATGAGATAGAGAGAGAGGTTAATGAGAAGAAGAAAAAGAGAAGTGAGAAGTGGATGTTAAAAGCTAACATTGAAATGACAAGTTAATGCGTCTCCTTTAGTTGCCTTACAGAATTAAAAGGCGATTTCACTCTCTCCTTTCCTGCTCATCTTCCTCCTTTCATCTCCCTGTCTTCAATGTTCCAAAAAAAGAAAAAAACTTCTTTTATTTTCAATTTATCTTTTGCTCTTCCCATTCTTCTCATTCTCTTTCTCTTTCTCTCTCTCAATTGATGGAGGAATGTAAGCGACGACATTCAGATAGAGAATCAGAATTAACATGTCTAAAATCAATACAATTTTAAACTGAATACAAATAATTTGAACTAATTTGTTAACGAAAACAAGAATGACAAGAAGAATATCAGACAAAAACGCTTTTGTTCTATTATATATATGATATGTTTTGTGGAAAAGTTTCCAAAAAGGAAATCTCTTCATGTTATAGATACAGATGTTGTAGATAGAGGGAAGGGATTCACAGTCGATGCGTGTAAGACGGAGAGAGAGAGAGAGAGAGAGAGAGAGAGAGAGAGAGAGAGAGAGAGAGAGAGAGAGAGAGAGAGAGCGAGAAAAAAGGAGCATGCGCGATGA